GCTGGACATACGCAATATGTGCCCTAGTCAGCGAAGTCTACTAATCTGAATTCAGTGTGCTAGCAGGTTTATACCTGATAGACTCACAAACACGACGGCTTACCTCCACGTTACTCACCCGTTCGCTCCATCCAACGTGGGCTGAACTGCGTAAACATCGATATCAGAAAACTTTTAGTCGAAGGATATCTTCTACTCGCAAATTCAAGGTCTCAACCATAAAACAGGATTGAACGAACGCTAGTGCAATATACACGACCTTTCAACTTCAGTGAAACGTCGCGTCTACGCCAAAGGTGTTTCAGTTCTGCGTACCGTGATCGAGCCTTGAAAATGCGGGCGGTTCTCTTTTGCTGCGTTACAGTTATTGGTCACGCAACTGCCTAAGTAAGAAAAACAATCCACCATAACTAAATCCTGATCATTTAGTTTCAGAGCGGGCTTAGGCGAAACCCAGTCCTGCAACATCACTTTGCACTTTGAAGGTGCAAAGCACATACCGAATGTGGCGGCTGCACTTGTTAGTCTATCAAGTGTGCTTTGCGCATCCTCCATACATTCGAACAGACAGACGATGTCATCGGCTTACTCTAAATCGCAAAGCTTTTCTCCATCTGCCCATGCAATATCTACGTTTTGAAGTCCCCTTAGTGCGCTATCCAGTATTTCGTCTACGAAGAAATTGAACAGGAACGGCGAAAAGAGGTCAACCTCGACGGACGCCACTGCAGGTGACGAACGACCTACTTAGATTGTTGTAAACCCTTGCACGACCGGAGTTCTGTGAGTACAGTGGCCTCAGTAGGTTAACGTACTTTTGGGGCATTCCTTTTCGAAGAAGGGAGCCCATCAGAGCTTCGCGGTCAACTGAGTCGAAGGCTGCTTTCAGGTTAAGGAACACTGCGATCGTTGGCCGACGGCGGGTGTGACGCAGCTCAAGGATCTGACGCAACGTAAAAATCTGATCAATACATCCACGGCCAGGCCGGAATCCGGCTTGCTGTTCACGGATGTTGGTCTCTCTTAAAGGCGTCAGACGTCGAAGTATAACCGAAACTAGCACTTCGGTGACGATCGGACCAAACTTATCCCGCGGTGGTTTTCGCAATTGTTGCGGGATCCTTTCTTGAAAATGGGAACGATCAGCGATTCACCTCAAGATGAAGGAATGCGCCCTGGCGTCCAAATGTCGCGCAGTAGGGTAGTAATAGAGCTTACGAGGTTACCACCTTCCATCTTGAAAAGAGTAGGAGGGAGCTCATCCGGTCCGGCTGCTTTCCCTCGCTTCAGAGCTTGAATGCATGACCGAACTTATGTTTCCGTTGGAGTATTACATGACACTGCCCACGGAGCTTCAGCTACAGATGAAGCAGCCTGGTTAGCACTAGGCCAGCGGAATCGTTCGCTGAAGTATTCTGCCCAGCGATCGAGTCGTTGATCCCTATTGTGAATAGCTCGTCCCCTCTTATCGCGGACTGTTCTACTAGATGAAGTTCGCCGACCTTCCATATTGCGTATCAGTCGGAAAAGTCTTTGACTATTCCCTGATGCAGCTGCTACTTTCATTTTACTA